GGAAAAATAAAATAAAATAAAAAAATCGAAAGCAGGATCTCAGCCTGCTCTGATACCATAAAAGCCTAATTTGGCTGCCATTGATTTGAAAGCAAAAGCAAGAAATTACACGAAAATAATTAAGGTGCAGATTTTATGAGATCTGATGCATTAATTGTACGTACATAAATGGAGGCTACGGTGTTGCTCTTTATATACACTGTGCCCTAGGGTTTCAATACTAGAAAGGATACCTATCATCTAGCAGGTACAATACTAATCAATGGCTGAGATGAAAACAGCTCATGCATGGCTAATTTGCCTATGCATCGTACAAGAGAAGTAAAAGACAAAAGATATATATTGGTGTCTCTAATATGAGCTGTACGTGCCTTAGCCATTTGGCAATAACTGACTGGTAGTCTTGGAATCCTTGCTAATAGTTATCACTAGGCTCACAATCATACCATTCGATTTGAGGGTACCGTTCAAATTTCAACGTAGGCAATTTCCGCTCATGGTTTCATATGCTATGACTATCAACAAGAGTCAAGGTCAGTCATTATCACACGTCGGCTTACTATTGAAGAACCCTGTATTCAATCATGGACAGTTGTATGTGGCACTATCCAGAGTCACGAATTGGAGGGGACTGAAGATAATGGTCTGTAGTGATGGAGATTTTGACAATAGGAAAACCACGAACGTTGTATATAAAGAAGTGTTTAATAATATTTAGAATTAATTTTTTTTCTTAATTTTTTCTCAATGATCATGTTATTTTTTTTGCAATTGTTTTCTTTTTTTATTATTTCCTTTATCATATAGCTTCCCGTGCAAATGCACGGGTAAAAAACTAGTCTGTAATGATTGTGTAGATAAAATAAAATATAATAATAATTAAGATGAAAATAAAACATAGAATATAAAAAATAAATTAAAAAATAACTAAAACAATGTTGTATCCAAAGCATACCCGTAATATTTGTAATGACTGTGTCTAGATGAAGGAAAACATAATAATAAATAAGATGAAAATAAAACATAAATAAGAAAAATAAATTAAAAAATAACTAAAAATATGCGGTAAGCGTGGATCGAACGAACGACCTTCCGAACTTCAGTATGACGCTCTCCGAAATGAGCTATCCCCGCTTTGAGTTGGCTGCTGAGTATGTCTATATTTTTTCATACGCACATTGTGCTTTTTTATATGAGCTTCACCTTATGCAAGGACCAGTTAGGTATTTTTCGTATGAATAGTAAAATTAGGGGTGAACATATGTCAGTACGGTTTGGAGATAAACAAATTTCCAGAACCCACCGAAGTTCGGAGATTACTAAAATTTAATCTCCGGAACTGTAATAAAACATCTGTTCGGTTCGATTCGGATATTTTCATTTTGCAGTCCGTTTGGTTCGGTTCTGAGGACTATAAGAACGATTCGGTTTGGACATTCGGAGATTTTTAATCATTTTACTAATTTTTTTAATGGTCACCTAGTTGTATTTTAGTTTTTGTATTTTTCTAAATTCAACATTCATAAATGCTTTATCATACTAAAGATTTTACTTTCATATCAACTGGAAAAAAAAGCTCTAAATTTTAGTTAAGTCTAAATTTGTGCAACTTACATTGAAAACTCAAAATTCAAACAAAAAATAATATGGTTTTTTATAAAAGTAATATTTATTAGTCTTCCATACAATGTTAGTTATAAGATAGAATAAGACCACTATGGACAAATTTAAGTAATGTTTAAAATAAATATTTCTTTAACCTTTCATAATATAAATATATTTTTCTTAAACCAAGAAAAATCAATTATAGATCTGAAGTATTACTAAGCGTGAAATTTACGTGAATCTTAATTGTTATAACTATATTTTATTTCCATTTCACCAAAACTGACATAAAATATATTAATATCACACATCTATTTTTATAATTCGATTCTTCGGTTCGATGCGGTTCGGTTCGGTTTGGTACTCGGTACGGATATTTGTGAAATCTCCAGTTCTGTACCAAATATTTTTTCGGTTCGGTTCGATTCGGAGGAAGTCAACGGTCAACAATTATTTTCGGTTCGGAGTGATTTCGATTTGGGTTTCGCAACGGTACAGAAATCTTCGAATATCATGCTCAACCCTAAATAAAATACACGAGTCCATCTGTTTTGGAAATTGGAAGTTAATGTATACAGACGGCATATAGATCTTGTGATGAAGATGATCATAAATAATGAAAAAAATTCTAAAACACGAGTCCATCCTCGTTATAAAAATGACCTTTCAAAGGAGAAAATGAAGATGATAAATAATGAGAAAATTTTAAAATACGAGTCCATCCTCGATTAAAAATGACATTCAAAGGAAAAAGAAGATGTCGCCTGTTTAAAATGTTTAATGCTTGTGAACAGTCAGTAAAGCAGAAGCAAAAATCATTGAATCATATGCCATTACAATACAATCTTGAGGTTCTATGACAGGAGACAGTTAATATACGGAAATACACTTAACACGCCATGCTTAATGGCTCTAAACCAGCAGCTCTAATGGTTAACCAGCTCCATAATTTTACACTTTATTACATCACCAAGAAAACCTCACCAAGCCAGCGAGGGAATAAAAAACAAAAAGTTACGATCGGACCCTGGCTAGGCGGGCCCTTATTTCTTCCATCTCTTCCTCATCATCAATAACCTCCTACAAAGTCACAAAAAAGAAAAAAGAAAAACAAGACCTCATCATACCCATGGTGAAATATTAAATTAACACAAACGTGGGATACTTGCAAAGTCTTGCCATACCTCAGTATCTTCACTTGTTGCCGGTTGCTTTAGTTTCTCTTTTCTAACAGCATCAGGAAGTTGAGCGGCAGTCTCGCCAGCAATAGCTGTTAAGACTTTCTCGATTTCTTCTTCAGTCTCCTCTTCAATGTCTTCTGAGTCCAGTGCATTGTCCACGGCATCATTCACCATCTCCTCCAGCACACCAGCCTGGGGATTTTTTATTTTTATTTATTTTTATTTTTGGCATAATACAGTCTTGATGCATCGAATAAATATCCACTGAAACAACTTTTTCACGTGAATGTAAAATCTTCTCATAAAATTCTCGATGCCGTGATATACTTTTGGTTAGGGCATATTCTAATCACATTTTAGCATGGCCCGGTCTTCTAGCTTTCAGATCAATTTTTTTCGTTGCATCTTTTCTTAAACAGAAAATATTTGGGAAAAAAAAAAAATATTGATGGCCAAATCAACAGAGATTAAACGAACTGCAAAAGTCCAACATTAGTATTACATAAATAAGGGACATACGATATCGTGAATCATTGTTTTTTGAATTTCATCGATACCAGCAGATCCATGATGAGTTTCATAATTCATTGGAGTGTACAGAATGAGATTTACGAGGTGGATTATGGAGTCAGAAATAATTGTGTCCACTTTTCTTTTCATCATCGTTCACTTCACATATCTAACAATGCCGCACAAGGGAAAGAACATCTAATCCAACTCAAACTATCCAGCCTTTCATATTATCGTGCTTTAATAAGCGTGTTAACTATACTGAGGCCTCATATCTAATTTTACATCCACATGTTACATGTATTGCAGGCCAGACAATTCTAAAAGAAGCACCAATTTATATGGACGTGCTGAATATACTAACACTTCATGTGAAATTTTGCAGACATGTTGAAAAATATTGTGAGCCAGGCAACTCTAAAAGAAGCGTGAATTTTATGTCAACATGCTAAATATATTGAGGCCTCATATCGAATTTTCTGTCATTTTCTAACATCACTCTCGTTGTGATTCAACCGGGACGACCCTCCATGGCTTAAATAAATAATTATTATAATTTCAAAAGGAAGGCTGAGAAACACTTTGAGAAATCAGCTTGTCTCCGGGACAAAGACTAGGACAAACGGTTTTTCGAATATATTATAAGAAAATGACACGCATACCTTTGTCATTTCTTTATTGAATTCTTGCATGGTGACAGCTACTTCTGGAGCCTTCATGAGATTATTAACAAGCTTCATTACTTCTGCACTTTTTGACAAATGCCCCACTGTTCGAGCAACGGCTGCAAATCCAGAGAAAAATTAAGTAAAAACAACGAAAGCAGCTAAACTTTCTTGTTGATAAGAAAACACGATGCTAATGCATCTTTCTAGGAAATACTCTGTCAGCTTGTCATCCACAATTTAACATAACATTTGCTCACTTAGAAAAAAGGGAAATATTAAAGGTGAACTATATATTGGTCATCAAGTTTGTCAACTCTGTCAGCATTTCAGTAGTAAGGGGACGTCGACAAATAAAAAATAAGAGGCAGTTTTAAGCATGGGTTAATTTTTGCTAAGATAAGATTAGACTCACTAAAGAAAACCTAAACAAGGAAGGTCTCAAATTTCAGAGCACCTGACAGAAGCAATAAAGTAAGAATAATCTCATACAGAGGACTAGAATATTCTCACCAGAAAGATGATTAACACTAAATTTCCATGAAAAAAAAAAAAAAAATTGTTCCACACTTGTTCAGGTGAGAATCATGCCTGCATGAGATCATTGCTGACATGCTTTTGTTGGTACCTTCATCCAACCTTTTTTAGCACCATAGTGGAGAGTACTTAATAATTGCACTCGATACAAAATGTCAAGTAGCTAAATGCATATAAGGTATTACACAGTAATCCCGAAAATTTGAACACTTCTCTGAAGAATACAGGGCAAACAATGATAAACAGAATTAAACCCCAGGTAAAACCATTTAAAAGGAAACTGAAAAAATAACTGAATCTTACCAACACTTTCTCCAAGATGCATTGATATTGAATTCAACTGCGCCTTGTTTTCATATAGACGGTTCACTGTTTTCCTAGATCTCACGATTTCCTTGGCCAGAGCCTGTTGGGACAAATGGTAAAGAGGGTCGTATTAAACACTTATTTTGCACATCCTAAATGCAAGTTTTCCACCAAATTACCCACATTATATAGAGGAGTCCCATCTAGAACAAGAAGTAAATGAAGCCACATAATTACGGATTTTATCACAAAATAAAATGAGATCATGTTTTCCAGCACACAACGGGAACGAAAGAAAAGCATCTAATGTCGAGAACACTATCAACTCCGGATAAAACTTAAGCAAAAATCTCAGCACGAACACAATCCTTTCAGATGTCAAAACCATCAAGGCCAAATACAATGAAAGAAACCGCGTTCCATCCATGTACATCTTAATTATCCACCGGGTCCGTATATCCAAAAGATGATAAACAATCATCCAGACATAGGTCATAAACATTATATTTTTGTACGAAGTGTAAGTAAAGAACAAAATAACCTATATGAGTGAACCAAAAGAAGAACAAAGAAAAAAGGCCACATCTTTACTTCTCAATCAACATACATTAAAAGGACTTCACTAGACCTCCTATTAAGCTTTAATAGTCTCCCCATGCTAATATACAAACATTCGAAAATTGTAAAGTATATAATTACAGAAACAAATCAGAATCATAATTACAGTGCCTTAGCAGAACCCATGTCATTTCTTTTTGCAGCCTCTTTGATTGCTTTCTGAACATTCCTTTCCTCTTTCTGTATATCTAATCAAAGTGGTAAAAAAAATTAGAACTTTTAGTTCTTTTGTTAAGCACATCAACCTAAAATTGGAAATAAATAACAATTTTTAATTAAAAAAAAAAAGCCTAGAAAAGGGGGGAAGAACATGATAATATCAACAACATATGAATAAAAACCTCGGACTTGGCGATCAATATTACGGCACTCTTGGCGAAGGCGACGCTGCCAATCTCTCAGTAATTGCTGCGGATTGGGCTTTGGCTTTAATATGCTAATCATTTTTTCCATTTTTTTTTTTTTTTTAATGAACAAATCCTGGGGAGCAAAAGAAGATCTTTCTATTTTGAGGTTTATGCCATATACACGAAATTGGTCTGCAAAAAGATTATCAAACTGGGTAAACGAATAGATAAAAAATCAGAGTGGTTTGATGAGAAAAAGAAGAAATTTTTCAAACATAAAAATATTAAACGCTTCAAAGGTGAATCTGGATTGTGGAGTTGGGTGGTCAGCTGGGTAGAATCTGGTGCCTTGAAAAGTTTCTGTGGTTTTAAGCGAGTTAAGGTGATTGGTTAAAGAGAAAATTACACAGGTTATTTCAATTATACTAGTCGCCACCGTGTGAGCACAACATTTTTTAAAGTGAAATCTTTATTTATTTATTTTTTTCTTCTCAAAATGGCAAAATTCATTCACTAAACACATAATTACAATTAGTTCAGCAGCCGGAACAAGAGGACTACCCAAGACAGCTTATATATCACAACACACACTACAAACAAACAAAATAAAAAACTCCCCACAGGAGAATACACAATGTAGCGCCCCATTCAATTTATGCGAGTCGTATTTTATTTCTTATTATTTTGCACTGCTCGACTTGTGTGATCTTGATTAATTCTAAATTCGAATGAAATAAATGTCCTCTTCTATTTAATTGGTTCAATATATTTACCAATCCAAAAATTTAAATTTAAAAATATGTCCTCGTCTTCTTAAGTTCTTTGGTGTGCTCTCGTTTTGCTAAATCGTTCTGAGTGTTTAAATTGTTTGAAATTTGCCTAAGTGTACTAATTGTTCGATTTGTTGTTCTTAATTGTTTAATCTTGATTTTGTGCTTAAATGTTTTATTTTGCTAAGAATCCAATTTACTGCCCTAAGTGTTCAATATGTGCCTAAGTATTTTGGCAAAATTTTATCTATACTGTACAGTTTGAAAATAATTGTAAACATGCCATGGTCAAACATTGTATTGTGTTTGTCCCATTTTTTTTTTGTCATTTTTAGCATTATTTTACCGTCTGTTTTCCTCCGTATTGAGTCGTTTAGGTGGTTTTAGGATTTTTTTATCATTTATTATGTGTTTTGCGTTCATTTGAGTGTTGCGGTGTTTTCCGTTTGTTTTCCGGTCTTTTTCTATTCTCTTTTCGTTTTTGGTGTGTAGTTTGGAGATCCCGGGAGAACACGTTTTCGAGAATCTTTTGAGGAAGCCGACACCATTAGAAAGAGGGCTCGTTAGCGACACGCAACAAAAAACAGAATCGAATTCCGAGCCCGAACGAGCGTAAACAAGCCCGAGACGCGAAGAAGGATGAACTGCCAGGCACCGCGCGTGCGCCGCGTGATGCGGAAGTGGGTTTCAAGCCCCGACGACGAGAAGGTCCACGAGCCGAGACGACCCGAGGAGGCTGAAAATGGGGCCAAAATGATGCACGCATGGCCTAAAAGACGGGTACGAGCTCGTATGCGAGGTCGCGCATGGAGGTACGCGAAGGCACGCGAGAAGATGGTCCATAGGCATACGACGTTCGGGCGCAAGAAAGAGCGCATTCAAGAAGGGCGCGCACACGCGCATTGGCATAGACGCGCATGGCGCTTGGAGGTTAGGCGAAGTGGCGCGCAGGGGGAGGTTGTAGGGTGGATGGCGCGCGAAGGAGGCTGCTGCGGATGGACGGGCAATACGCGAGCATTAGCACGCACGGAGGGCAGCGGCGGATGGACAGCAAGTGCGCAAGGCGACACGCGCGAGGCACAATGCAAGAACAAGGCGTCAAGCCTAATCCTCGTAGGAATAGGCAAGACGCGAATACTAAACCCCACAGGAATAGGAAAAGCAGCTGAGTGCCGGAACGCGCGTGAAAGATCGGTGACGGGAGTAATCCTCGGAAGATCAGGCAACGTAGATGGGAGCATATTCCTAGTAGGAATAGGCAAAGTGGATATAGGCTCGAAGCATGGTCCTACATAGAATAGGAATGGCGCACGCAGGGCGCGAGGCCTTAAGCCTCAAGGCGAGAGGATATGCACGCATGGGCGGAGGAGGCGCGGCCCTAGTCCTCGAGGACTAAGGCAACACGCGGGCGGCTAGGGCAAGGGGGCGGCCGAACTTGAAGTAGGGTGCAAGCAAGAGGACTTTGAGTGCAAGACAAGGATTTGGAGTGCAAGCCAAGTAATTAGGAGATCTAGTAGATTTAGGATTTTATTAGTATGGTAATCAAAATATTTAATTGCCTTAGGATTTATATTCATGCAAGAGTTAGGAGATCTAGTTGGAGTAGAATTAGAGATAATTAAGATCTATAAATAGGGGTGTTCCCCCATTGTTTTTCAAGTCCAGAATGAGTTGAATAGAAAAGAACATTTGTTCAAACCCTGTGTTAGGATTCGTGAGAGTTCGATCATGCAATCGAATTAGTGAGGCTAAAACCCGAGCTAGTTCAAAATCGAGGGAGCGAGGCTAATTACCGAGTGAACTCAAGTATCGTGAGAGAGTTAGGCAAATAACCGAGTCGATCACACCTATCCGTCGAGAGCAAGTCGTGGCGAGGCTGTGTTCGAGGCAAGCGAGTGGAACAAAACACACGATCCTTCATCATTGGTGCTTTCATTGAGAGTGATTGATTGTGTGTTTTGTTAAACTTTTCCTATCCCATTCTTTTTTTCTTTTGTTCGAATTTTTTCGAATTTTCCTTCTTATTTTTTCAAAATTTTTCGAGAGTATAAAAAAAAAGAGTGTCATCCTAGTAGTCTTGTTATTTTTCATAGAGTCATAAAAAAAAGAAGAAGAGAGATGTCCTTCTTACCATTAGATGAGTTGGATTTGGAAGATCTTGAGTATCTCGAAGGTTAGGAGAGGGAATTAACCCCTTGGGAGCAAGAGTATTTAGAGGAGTTGTACGAGCGAAGAGATCTAGAAGAGAAGCTCGAACGGCAACTCAAGATCATGGAGGGGTTCGTCGACGAAGAGCCCATATTGGCGTTAGATCTACCAAGCTATATTGAAGACAAGGTCACCGAGTTCGTGGTCGAGCGAGTCGAGTCTGAGGATCCACCTTCATTCGGCGACGTATTCATGGACGAGGAAGTGGCTCACATTGAGGTCGAGGCCGAAGGAGCTGAAGTGCTCAAAGTCGAAGAGAAGATGTTGGTCGCGGTCGAAGCGGACCATGATGAGGAGGCGCACGCACAGTACGGTGCGGATGAGGAGGTGGTCGATGTCCATAGCATGGTCTTGGTCGAGGTCGACGAGGACAATGAGTGGGATGCGCGAGTGGTCGAAGAAGGAGTGCCCGATGTTTGGATGGTAGAGGATGAGTCCTTGAGGACAAGGACATTCTCAAAGGGGGCGGGAATGATGCGGAAGTGGGTTTCAAGCCCCGACGACGAGAAGGTCCATGAGCCGAGACGACCCGAGGAGGCTTAAAATAGGGCCAAAATGATGCACGCATGGCCTAAAAGACGGGTAAGAGCTCGTATGTGAGGTCGCGCATGTAGGTACGCGAAGGCACGCGAGAAGATGGTCCATAGGCATACGACGTTCGGGCGCAAGAAAGGGCGCATTCAAGAAGGGCGCGCACACGCGCATTGGCGTAGACGCGCATGGCGCTTAGAGGTTAGGCGAAGTGGCGCGCAGGGGGAGGTTGTAGGGTGGATGGCACGCGAAAAAGGCTGCTGCGGATGGATGGGCAATACGCGAGCATTAGCACGCACGGAGGGAGGCGGCGGATGGACAACAAGTGCGCAAGGCGACACGCGTGAGGCACAATGCAAGAACAAGGCGTCAAGCCTAATCCTCGTAGGAATAGGCAAGACGCGAATACTAAACCCCACAGGAATAGGAAAAGCAGCTGAGTGCTGGAACGTGCGTGAAAGATCGATGACGGGAGTAATCCTCGGAAGATCAGGCAACGTAGCCGGGAGCATATTCCTAGTAGGAATAGGCAAAGTGGATATGGGCTCGAAGCATGGTCCTACAAGGAATAGGAATGGCCCACGCAGGGCGCGAGGCCTTAAGCCTCAAGTCGAGAGGACATGCACGCATGGGCGGAGGCGGCGCGGCCCTAGTCCTCGAGGTCTAAGGCAACACGCGGGCGGCTAGGGCAAGGGGGCGGCCGAACTTGAAGTAGGGTGCAAGCAAGAGGACTTGGAGTGCAAGGCAAGGATTTGGAGTGCAAGCCAAGTAATTAGGAGATCTAGTAGATTTAGGATTTTATTAGTATGGTAATTAAAATATTTAATTGCCTTAGGTTTTATATTCATGCAAGAGTTAGGAGATCTAGTTGGAGTAGAATTAGAGATAATTAGGATCTATAAATAGGGGTGTTCCCCCATTGTTTTTCAAGTCCAGAATTGATGAGTTGAATAGAAAAGAACGTTTGTTCAAACCGTGTGTTAGGATTCGTGAGAGTTCGATTATGCAATCGAATTAGTGAGGCTAAGACCCGAGCTAGTTCAAAATTGAGGGAGCGAGGCTAATTACCGAGTGAACTCAAGTATCGTGAGAGAGTTAGGCTAATAACCGAGTCGATCACACCTATCCGTCGAGAGCAAGTCGTGGCGAGGCTATGTTCGAGGCAAGCGAGTGGAACAAAACACACGATTCTTCATCACCGCGCTGCGACGCACGCCGCGACCCGGACAGAGACTCTCAGGCTTACGCGCGCTGCGGCACTACACTTACCGCGGCACGACAACAGCAGTCACCGCGGCGGAGCAACAGGCACTTTCTGTCCATCTTGTGGCGAGGTCGCAGCGCGGTAGTGGGCTTCTCACGACGCGGCATAATTGTTGGAATTAATTTCCATAATGCTAAGGTTACCGTTACAATTCTTGAAAAATTAAGGATAACGCATTACGCATCCCTTGGCATAATAATTGACAGATTTTCATAAAAAAAAAGAAGAAATTTAAAACACATATGGTAAGTCAATATACCCTAATAATAAGGAGTTTGTTCAGTAGAAATATGAAACATAAATGTTTAAGTTTTAAACCACCTT